TATACAAAAACACTTAACGTGCCCTTTTTTAACTTTTGTTTTAATACATCTTAGGCATTAGATGCAATCACCCGGCAAGCGAAAGACCCGGGTTCGATTTCTAGCAAACAGTGTTTTCGATATTTTTTCTCTCCGGAACGAAAAGACGCAGGTCCCGATCGGCGTCCTGCCATCATTTTGTACACTCTTCTTCTATGGTCTTAGGCAGGTTATGTCATTAGGTACATCTAAAGCATTAGATGCATTAAAAAAATTTCGTGCAGCGAGAGCGCGAATCATTGCCATCTATGTGTAAGTGTATGTCCATACACGCGCCCCACACAAGCGTATTGTTCGCGCGGACATAAGAGCAGGAAGGTTGGGTCAAGTTAGTTAGATAAAGACGAACTATTGAACGCCATCTTTGTCTCTCCTTAGTTGTGACGTCAGACGTCACCAATCCTTTCCATCAACCAGCTGCCGATGTATTTCATAGCCGATAATCCGACTAGAATATGATTTTAGGCTTTCGGCTGAGGCGGCCGAAGCGTAATAAAGACTGCAAACGATTAATTTCAAAAAATAATATAATATTAATTACGTACGTGAACATATTTGTGCAAAATATAGTAAAATATGTAATACTGAACATGCTTACTGGAATGATACGATACAAGAACATAAGTGCCTATTACACATGAATAAAATATTATGCACGCCAATTTGCAAAATATGTGTGTATCAACCTGGATAACAATATAACAAACAAGTAAAAATGATGTTCGTGGCAAACAATATGTGTCGAGCAGAAAACCTAACGAAGGATATACTTGCTCGAGTGCTCCGCTACAAGAGCATACACGCGTATTATATTTCAATAAAAATTTATGCATACTTATTTGGAAAATCTGGCTGTGTAGCGATCTCTATAATAAAGTAAGGAACAAGTAAAATATAACATTTGTAGCAAACATTACGTCTCTCAAGCAGAATATTTAACCACATATACGTTTGCTCGAGTGGTCCGCTACAAGAACATACGCGCTTATTATATTTAAATAAAAATTTATGTACACTTATTTGGAAAATGGGAGGCTGCCGGACAGCTAAACGGCTAATGGAGCAACCATCGCCGGGGAGAGCCAGCGAGCTCCTGGCCATGAACAGACCAAGGCTGAAGGTGGGATTGGGTCTTCTTACGGGACACATCACACTGAGGAGCCATCTAAACAAACTTGGGCTTACGGAACAAAGTGACTGCCGCCTATGTGGTGAGGAGAGAGAGGACAGCACCCACATTTTATGTCGGTGTCCTGTACTCACATGCAAAAGGTATAGATCCTGGCGCTGCATGTTCATGGAACCTGAGGATCTAAACGGAAAAAGGGTTAGCAGCTTGATTGACCTGGCGTCAGATACTAGGCTGGGTTTATTAGCGTAATCCTAAAAAATAGCAGGAGGTCACAATGGAACTTCTAGATCTAGGTGACGTAAGGGCATTAAAGTGCCCACCTGCTCCAATACTACTACTACTACTAC